AGTCAAATAATTAAATTCAACAGGAAATACATTAAGATAGGTATGAACTGTATACATATGCAAGAATAGGATCAGTCAAAAAAATCTAAAGAAACATTACATTAATGTACAATTATTAATGTTGGAGTCAATTATTTATTGCATGATATTTAAAATAAATAATATTTGCATGATATTTAAAATAAATAAAATAGACATGTTTGCCTGTGTGAAATAGTCCTCTCATCCTCTTCCTCATGACAGTGCCTCTTCAGTATCAGTATAACAAAGCTAAGCAGTTCTGTAAGCCACTGCCACAGGAGAGTAAACCTGTCAAAGTTTCTTTCCTGAAAGCTTCCCCAAATGAGCTGCATTTTCATGTATATTTTATATTTCACTACAGTATTCTTTTCTCACACTTTCGCCCGGTTTATAACCCACCCTTCTCCACAAATTGGTTATGGCTCCTCCGCACAGTGCAGTGTGACGTGTGTTCGGCTGGCTGCACAGGACTGCGCCATCAGCAGAAGTCCAGCTCTATATCACTGCCGTAATGTATCTGCCTCAGTGCTGTCTCTGAATTCTGTCTCCTGCACTCACCATTCCTTTTTCCTCCTCAGTCTGTTTAGATATTGTCTGACGCCACTCTAATTAGTTTTCTTATTTGATTTTGTTCATTGCAGTAGAGTACATATTTGCGCAGCTGACAGTTCATACACTCCTGATTCAAATTTCAAGACCAGTTGAACAATTGCACAGTTTTGTCTTAAAGACATGGAAGCGAGACTAAAATATAACATCGAGGGCTTGTTGGGAGCGCTTGGACCTGAGGAGCATCCATTATCTGGAACTGATGTCCACTTTTGTAAACCTCCCTTTCCATCCATCCCCAAAAGTTTCACAAATGTAGACCAGGAGTCTTGTCTACATTTGTGCTGTGTTTGATGGATCGTGGATTAGTTCATGCACAGTGAGTCTATCAACTGACTTTTTTGGTCCATAGCGCTCAAGATTTGTGAAGAAATTCAAAATCATTTTGAGAGAGCTTTTGCCGCTATACAATCTAACAAACTGTAAAAAAAAAAAGAACAGTGTGACTGAGTTTTCCAAATTTACATTTTATGTATTTTTCAGTGCTAAATACATTGCAATATCTGCAGTATCTGCTTAGAAACTTTATTTAGATCAAAGTGAATTGTTGCAATTATTAACATGGTAAATGTTGATAAGAAGTGTATATTTTACATTTAATTTACTTATCATAATGTAACTGAAAAGCTGGTTGATTATTGTACATTGTTGTGCTTATGTTTTAGTAAGACTTAGTAACTTCTTATGCCATAAAGTCGTGTGCGGTGGTCTGTAATTATGCCACTAGATACTGCCTAAATCGACTTTGCAATCAAAAAATGCATTATTGGAAAGACAGTGCATGTTTATCTTGACTCACATAGAGATCATATCAAATGCTTTTCTCCAAAGCAATATACATTGATGGTGCAGGTTCACCTCAGGTTTATGAGCAGCTCTGCTCTGGGTAACCTTTTGTAATGGCAGCATGATTGTGAGTGGGCATGGGGCTAAAGAGCCCCTTCAGGGGGGTGGCTGAGAGCAACAGGAGTTGTTTAGTGCCGTACGAGTCCAGCGAGACGTTTAAAATGACACAGATCGTAATACACAGGTAATTATGAGCAGCAAGAGGCTAGTTTGAGCTGCATTGTGCGGACGCAATAATTATATCTAGTGTTTATATGTTGATATACCTCATTGTTTGGAAAAGGTAAAATAGGAAGCACAGAGCCATTTTCCTGGTGATTAAGTGGTGGTTGGACAAAGCAGGGTGGCCTTAGTTGGGGGTTGGCACAGCAGGCAGTAAACCAATGATTAAAAGTCCTTTTAAAGTAGGTTCATGACTCAATCCTCTACATCAGCATTAGTTTGTTAGGAAGGATTTCAACTATCGAGCTGACATTAGTGGGAGCACAAGGGGCGACTGGGTAATACTCCCGTCTCTGATTTCAGACATGGATTGACCAATGTTTATCATTATCTGCATTTTATGGATAACTTGACCATAATTTTTTTGCAAGTCAACTTAGGCTGAAACAATTCAAAATATTGTAAATATTGTATTGCCTCAATAACTTGGTTAACTTTCTACAATGAAAACATAAAACATATGAAACTGTGCATCATTTGCACAGAACTAACTGCGTCCCTTGTTTCTCACAGAACTGTTTCTGTAAAGCGCCTGCACTGCACTGAGAGTAACGGATTCAGATTCAATTCATCTACCATTTGCAGTAAAACCACATTGGAATACATTTGCAAAAGTCCCAAGTGTGTACAGGACAAATACATACATATAAACATAAATAAAGCAAGATCATTAAAGTGCTCTGTTTAAACTGATAGCAGCTTGTGGAAAGAAACTGTTAGCCAAACAAGATATCCTGCATCATGCGAGTACCGCATCATACTGATTTTACAATTATGGTAAAAATACCTTTTCTCTCAAAAAAGTATGTGTTTTAACTATTTTCACACAAAAAATGTAATTTCAACATTGATATTTATTATGTATTTAAGGGTGTTTAATACTTAAAAAACCTTCATAGATTACTTGATTAATCAATGTTATCAATAGCTGTAGCCATAAAGTCAAAAACATCAACAACAACTGTTCATCTTTTCTCAGTCTCAGTAAGAAGCCAGTGTCGTGCTCTGTGCTGCTGCTCAGGTGTGCACTGTGAAGGATGTGGTAAATGTAGAGGACAAGCTTCTCTGCAGGGACAGCTGTGTCCATCACCTTGACCTTTTATATAAGATCCACATTGTCTAATAGACAAAAGTGCTGGGGCTGGCCGCGCCTGTTTGGCAAATCTCACAGCTAAGCATTTCAGGGCCTGGTAGTGCTTAGATGGGGACCGCTGGTGATACGAGTGGGACGACTGTGTCAATGCCAATTGTTATTGAGTCCTTAGGCAAGACTCTTCTCTTCACGAGTGCAAGACACTATTTCTATTAATATTACTTAACCCTCATTGTCTGCTACAAGAGGATTATTGTTGCTGTTCGAAGGGTCCAGTAGCTTTACTGTACATGAAAGTCAGCATTTTGTGACTCTCTGAAAAGTTCTATATCAGACTGTTGTGGTAAAATTTGAAAGAGATCATTTTAAATGTTTATAATCACTACTGTGTAGTTCAAGTATCTTCTTTCTCTTAAATCTGCACTGGGAGATACCTGCTGATGAGAAATAAGTGGTATGTTACGACTATAATTGGATTTAGGAAGCAGGATTTGAACTTGATCCTGGTGACATATTCAAAGTGATAGCACAAGCGATACATATCTAGGCTGCATAATCACCATCACACTTTTTCTCTATGAAGTCAATGCCAAATATCATACATGTGACACCTATCACAGCACATTATCTGATAAGAAATAACATGTCACTATTAATTTAGAGGGTACACCCCACCATTTTCATATCTTCTCTTTATTTTGTCATATATATATATCTGTTCCTTCAAAAACAGACGGATCAAAGGACTTTCAACAACTTTATCTGCTTTATACTAATACATATAGTAGATATCACTACGTATTAATTGTTGGTATTCAATGACATTTGACTGAATCTCCCCATAAAGTACAGTTTCCTTTAAGTTATTATACATTTATAATCACCTCCTGAAAAGAAATCATAAGGACCAACGCTGGTTAATAATTAATATTGTCTTTATGCGTATTTGGAGCTACTGCATTTACAGTACTTCTTTTGGGCAAAGCACTAATGTTGACATAGTGCAGGATTGGGGCACGTGGTGTGACAAAAGCTCTCGGACATTTCCCCTCCCTGCCATCTGTCCGCTCTCCCTACACCCTGTTTATTTATAAGCTGCACCATTGACAATAAGCCATACATTGCCTTTTTATAGGATCCTTTACAGAACTGTTTCATGTCTGTAGTAGAATATAAATCGTTGATAGATTTTTGGTTTGATCTTAATGTGACATATGGCGTGTGAGAGGAGCCTGTTGAGAGCTGTTTGGTTTTAATACGGACCCACAATATGGATTTATTTGTGCTGCTTCTCGTCACCTATTGATTACCAGCATCATGGTCCTTTCACGCTCCCTTTGTTATTAATATGCATGCATAAGCCTGTTTAAAATCCCATAGAGGCTGCAGTTGGTTTTGCATTTGCTCTTGAACAAAATTCTAGTGCACAGTATTTGTAGCCCAATCCTAAGCATACTCATTTTTAACTCCCCTCGAGAGTGAGAGCTCATTACAAAACACTTCTCAGCCTATCTGCCTCTTTCCTTCTGCCTTGCATCAGCTCTCCCCTGGGCGACTCCTTCACTCATAACCACACTCTACACAAGACAAACTTCAGGCTTTTTTCATTCACTCTCTTTCTCGTCCCAACGCTTTTCACACTGCCTATTCATTGTTTGTCTGAATCTTCCATTTCCATTTTGATGCAAGGAAAAAAATTGTGCTAAAATATTCACATAAGCTAATAATATGAAGAAGATATACTTTATTGATCAACATTTGACCTGAATTGTTTTAGAACAGACTTGATCTTTGAATTACAAATCAAATCATTACAAATCAAATCAAATCAAAATTGGTTTCCAAGTGCTCTAAGTACTTACTGGTCTTAGTTATGCCATAGACTATTTTATTTAATATATATGTTACTGCACATAATGGTACAGTGTCCCAGAAAAAGACATTCTTTAAAAGCTAAAATCCAATTTAAGATTTTCGGTTTAGTGACACAAACTGAAATTGTATTGTAAAGTTTTCTTTTTTTGTTCTTTTTTTCCAGATTCCCCATCTCATCAATAAAAAGTTATAGGAAGTACTGAAACCAAATGCTTCAATCCAAGAAGAAATGGAGATCTAATCATATGATGCCATTTTGGATCAAGAGCATCAAGTAGAAAAATTGTAGTTTTAATCAGTAAATGGCCTTTAGGTGCTGAAGACGAGATTCAATATGAGTGTTCCAACTGATTACCAGGAGCTAAGAGTGTCTTTAGAAAGAGGGGAGAAGGTTTCTATCAAAAGTAACATGCCATATCCTCAGTGCGGAGACAATAATGCAAATGAAATTGGAGAGCTGGAGTACACCACAAACTCAATCCCTCCACTTGTATCTCAGAGAGAAACCCACGAGAAAATTGTCTTCTGGAGCTCAGAGCAGCCATTCGACGCCTGTCAGGAAATACACACATTCTTAGGCAAAGGCGATGACATTTATGACGACGAAGATGAGGGGGCCAGTCTGAGAGATGGGAAAGACGAAGGCCTTATGTCCATCTCATCGAGTTCGACTGCCAGCTCTGCCTCGACCGGAGTGAGAAGAAATGACAACGACAGCAACAAGGTGGCGGGTCGGAGGAGCAGCAGACATGAGCACAAAAGGTCTGCCAGTCACAGCACTGAAGAGCTGGACGCCTGCGTGACAGTGGAGAGAGGAGACGGACTCCGAACGGGCAGAGCAGCAGAGAGGGACAGGCAAAAGTCCAAATCCGAAACCAACGTCTTCGTCCCCAGCATGTCCGCCATCTCCCTTAGCGGAAGTATGTCGAGCGCTTTGGATACAGGGGGAGAACCGACTCGTATAACCTTGCCAGTTTACAAGACGCACTTCTATTCCTCTGGTACAAGCAACACTACCTCAATCCAGACCAGAAGAGGGTCCGCGCCATTGGACAACAAGACCTCGCCTCCTTTTCACTCTCAGGAGAAACTTCACCAGTACAGCAGCAGTCAAGATGGCGGGTTCGGACAGAGGAGGAAAGCAGGATTTGAAGAAAGAGTTTTACCCCCTAGACGACAGCAGCTCGTGAGACCAATGTGTCAAACAGAGATGGGGCGAGCGAGGAGTTTTCCTGAATCTAGTAGCCATCAAATTGACCCAGGACAACCAAACCAGGAATATGCTGATAATAGAAAGTCTGCAAGATCATCCCTGCGCGAGCCGTCTGATTTCTCGCATTTGTATAACTCATCGGGGGTCTTGAGACAGCCTAGTCAATCAGCCCAAAAAGACATGCAACCTGCCGAAAAACAGCTCACCAGTGCCTCAAGGCCAAGTCCAAAACCTCAGACGCAGCTTACATACAGGAGAAACTGCTCCAGTCCAAACAGGGTGAATACACCGCCTCACTCCCCGCTCAGGACTCCCCAAGGATCACCCAGAAGACAAACCTCGATGTTCATCATTCCTCGAAACGTCCCTGGGGTGGTTCGGCACGCCATTCCAGCGGGGACAAACACTGCTGTAACCACTCAGGGCTATGGTAACAGTAGTCTAAGAGCACCAGTCAAGACAGGCATAAGCACAACTGGGACAGCCAAACCCGCTCCCAGCAGCAGGGAGAGTCCACCAAAAGACAGCTCACCTTCGCCGAAACACGCCCCAAAACCAAAAGGGGTTCGTCCTAAGATCATAACCTACGTCAGGAAGAATCCACAATTTAAGCCGCAAGTTGCCGACGGGCCTTATCAAGTGTCCTCTTTGCCCTCCAGACTATCGACATATGCAAATAACCAGACTGTAAGTAAAGATACCCCTAAAGAAAAGCCCAATGTCGATGTCACTGGAGCCCCGGTCCTCAGTGCTTCAAATTTGCTTTATGAAAGATATAAGCAAGAAATGCAAACAAGTGCATCCACCCAACCTGGAGTGAACAACAGGGGAGCCAGGCCTAATAATGTACCACCAGCCAATGCACCTCACGGACACAGCCACACGGCACCTCCAAAGCTGATGAGCAAAACAGACAACTTATACGGGACGCCTTCTGAGGTTAGTACAGATCATGTCAACACTTTGCACTATACAGTCATTCTGATGGTCCTAAAGCTGGGGTACGTAACTTTCGATCCACAAAAAACTATAAAATCCATGTGACTATTTTTTATTTATTTTTTTATATGATAATGTACTGTAGTCACACATAGTTTCAGCGGGAAAGATGCAACTGATGCAACAGATATAGAGTGTGTAGCTAATGCTAATTTAGCTTTTTCCTACAGTGCAACACATTATACAGAATGGATTAAATAGACCTAGATCTAACATCAAGACATTCCTTAACCAATGTAAGAGATACGCAGACAGCACACATTCACTGTCAAACACATGAACACGCACACACACACACACACACACACACACACACACACACACACACACACAAACACACACAAAATGCATTATGTACAAATTCAGAAATTTGTAAATGAATAAAAATGGTCTCTGCCTCTTGTTGCCTCCGCCTCCTTCACATGCATGTATTTTTGGCCTCAGTCCTGTCTTTAAATCAGCCAGACAAATGGAAAAAGAGTGGACAAACCTCACTCAAGCTACTCAAGTACCAGCTCTCTACCCAAAGCATCGATAGTGACTCCTAGGGCTACAAGTATGCAAAAGATAATACGTTTTTGAATAAGATGTCATCCTTTACCCATGTTGGGGTCTGATTTCTTCACAACATGCCACTCCCAAGAGAAACAATATCTAGAATGTATGAAAATAAAAGTTTGGTACCCCAGCTTTAAGGTTTTTATAACAAGCCGTTTTTCACACCATGATCTAACACAATAAAACCCTTAATTTACCTATTTCAAATTCAATTCTTGCTGGATGCATCAGTTCACTGATTCTCATTCTCTGAGTTATTATATATTTTATTGAATCTATTGTCTGCCTCAGGGAATTGTTCTATTATTGTTCAACGTATACAATGAATCAATATAGGCAATCGCTTACATTAAATCTGTTAACCTCACATATTGATTTGTCTTGTGCATGTTAATTCTCTTGGAGCCACAATTCACAAAAGGCCAATTGTTCCAGAATTCCTATTTCATCAACTTTGCATAACATTCTTATCATAATTGTGCAGCTTCATTTTGCATGCATAACATCAAGGGGACTTAATGAATACTTAAATAAAAGCCATAGGGATGACGTAATTTCAAATAGTTTTTTTTACGGATTGTGTGATTATTAATCAAAATGGTTTTCATACAGTTTTATGTTTTAGCGCATATAATGGAGTAGAACACATACAATGGAATGGAACTTGCACAAGTTATACGTATACAGTGGTCCGTAGCTATAACTTGGTTCACGTTTCGCGGCCTCACTGTTTCATAGATTTTATTGTATGCATTTTTAACATCATCCCATGTGTGTACTCCAACTATCTCAGATACAATATCTTATAACGCTTGTATAACAGTTAGTTTACTCTTGTGGCTTATGTGCACGGATGTGATTAGTTCCGACGACTTCTGCGGTCTTCCCATAGCCCTCAGTTCTGCTCCTGCCCCTCAGCGCAGTGTTATCTGCAGCTTTCACAGAGTATGCACGGCTTTTGATAGCTGCAGAAGCACTCAGACCTGCAACAAACAAGTTTGATATCTCTGCGATCACACTTACAGCCTTAAACATACAGCTACTCTGTGGATATCGGTTATTAATGCAAAAATTCAATTAAATTCAAATAAATAAGGGACCACTGTATACAGACTATCATTGAAGATCATAATACGACTTGCATGCTGCATTATTCCTTTTTGAGTGGATTTGTCCGTAAATCATTGTGTCTGTAACTTTTATCTTTTTTGTCATTAATGGACCCATAAAGACGAGCTTATGGCAATGCTTCCAGCTAATGGGATCCATTATCAATAAACAAATCAACAAATAACTTTCTCCTTTCTCTGATATATCGTTTTAAACCTATTATAATACTTTCTTTGGTCTTTGCCAGTTGGGACGACCAGGCGGTTTCAAAGGCACCTCACACGATGACCCGCTGCAGTCCCGGACAATGCCTCAGGGTGGGGGGGGCAGTGGTAGCTTGCTTCGCTCTGGCAGAGGTCTGCGTCTGGGTCTGGGCGCCATGACCAGGACCAACCCGGGATCAGCCAGAACCCGAAGTCCTGCTCAGAGACCTGCTCCTGTCATGAGCCAACCTGTGCAACCCATCAGCCCCACAGAGAAAACTCACGACGCAGGTAAATCCGCTATAATTTGACACATTCTTCTCTGCAGAGACAGGAAAATGCCAGGAGGGGGTAGTTGTTTTTGTGTTTTTGCATGTGTCATAATGTATTCGAACAGGCTAAAATATGAGGCGCAGAAATTCCCTACTGTACGCTATCTTCTCCTCAGCAACAAGCAGGCCTGGGACTGTCTCCGCCTCAAATCAGCTTGAGATGAAGGAACCTCATTAAAATGCATTTGCTGAGATGATTTTTGGTGATTCTGATTGGAAGAAATACTCAGAGGGGACCTGCTCCCCGTAAAACTCTTTTTTGCTGCTCTAAATAAATAAAGAGCCAGGCTTCTCTTCCCACGGCTTTGACTTTACACAATTTTTAGCCAGATTGAAATCATATTTTCACTGTCACAGAATATTGAAACGGGTCTTTGCCTACCGCACACAACGCTTGAAGGCTGTGTCATTTATCACTACCCATGCATATTTGATTTAGAACCCATCTCTGTGGCTGTGATAACCCTGATGGAAAGTTCAGATATAAAAAAAAATCCTACAGCACATAAAGAATTGATCAGCTCTGTGTTATACTGTAATGTGGCAGGTTTTCTTATCATAATCCCTATTAATACATATGTGTAGTTGTGCCACGGTGCAAAACCCCCTGGGAAGGGCTAGGCTTTGAAGGGCATTGCAATTAACACTGAGTAACGTCATTTTCATTTTTTGCCTTCATCTCTGCACCTTTTCAGCATGAATAAACACAGACTAAATTGGATGCTATTTGCATGACGCTTTAGTTAGCATTTATGCCAGCATGCCTTCCGATTATATTCTATTTGGCCAGGATTGTCTTGAAAAAGAGGTTTTTAATCTTAAAGGAATAGTTCACCGTAGGGATGTAAATCGGCGACCGGTTAACCGGTGGTTGACCGTCACAGCGTTAACCGGTCAAAGCTGTCGGTTAAAAAAGAGAAAAAGGGGAGAGGGGAGGTCTCTTAATAACGCTATTTTAAGCCCTATTTGCACGGTGTGACGAGCGGGTCTGTATCTAGCTGTGTGCGCCCATGTATTATAAACTCCGGGACGACTCTCACGCCGCACGAGCCACATATGCACACGCACGCGCGCGCACACACACTTTCCCCCTCTCCATATGTAACATCCACACGCATCATCTCTCCCCTCTGTTACCGTCAAAGTTGCACACTGGCGCGGGTCAGAACTACATTGGAGCTTACATTTACACACACACACATACATACACACATACACACACACACATACCGGTCTGTCGCGCTCCTCTGTGTCACGGAGCCCAAAGGATTCGCGTAAATGTAAACCGCTTTGTGACTCTGGTCTGTGAAAGGCGGTATATAAATAAAGCTTACTTACTTACTTACTTACTTACTTAAATACGCGGCTCCAGTCAAACCACATGGAACATGTTTGTGTTTATGGTCCTCGGGATCAGCTCCACACACATCACTTGTATTTAAACTTTTGTGAAGACCTGTGAGACGCGGCGCGTCACTCGCTGCTCTGACCATGTGAACGAGCCGTTGTTTGCTGCTAGAAAGTTTTGGTATTAACCCGCAGCACAGCAGAATGGGAAGATTAAAAAAGCAGTTCTCTGTGCGCAAAGGTGCCGGAGCTGTTGCGGGTTTGGGCGCCGCTGTCTCAACTCTGATCCAGTAGAACGCAGAGCTGCACTTATGAAAAGTACGCGGCTCGAAATGGCTGTTATTTCAAAGACCGTGGACTATTTTAAACTACGCGGTTAACCGGTTTCAACCGGTTAATGAGGCTCGGTGGTCGGTCATGAAAATTCATAGTTTTTTACATCCCTAGTTCACCGTTTTTACATACTGACATATGTTCTTACCTTACCTTAGACTAGTTAATACGTACCTGTCTGGTCTGAGTCCGTGCGCTCTGTCATGCAAACGGAGCAAAAACGGGAGCACAAACGCAGCCTCCTCTGTATACTGTGTAGGACCAAAAAGCTAGCTCCCGCTAGAAGCTACCAAACTCTTCCAAGTGTTCCCTATTAAATGTATATAGTTACGTGACGTGTTACACTGCAAAGTATAGTAACACAGAAATGTAACTGTCACAACTATATTGTGAGGCGTAGTAATCTGAGGAGCGCTACGTCCGCGCACTAACTTCTCTCCGGAGACTTCTCTCTCGCTGCTACTGTGTGTATTACAAGTCACGCTGCTTCTATTGACGGAAGTGAGCGAGAGAGAAGTCTCCGGAGAGAAGTTAGTGCGCGGACGTAGCGCTCCTCAGATTACTACGCCTCACAATATAGTACCCGTTTTATCCGCTGAGAAAATCGACAGTTACATTTCTGTGTTACTATACTTTGCAGTGTAACACGTCACGTAACTATATACATTTAATAGGGAACACTTGGAAGAGTTTGGTAGCTTCTAGCGGGAGCTACCTTTTGGGTCCTATACAGTATACAGAGGAGGCTGCGTTTGTGCTCCCGTTTTTGCTCCATTTGCATGACAGAGCGCACGGACTAAGACCAGACAGGTACGTATTAACTAGTCTAAGGTAAGGTAAGAACATATGTCAGTATGTAAAAACGGTGAACTATTCCTTTAATGGGATTTTTCTTGGTTAAATTAAATATAAGAATGACATATGTATTCCTATCAATATGCTTCACATATCACATCTTATCCGCATTCATTTGGTTAAATAGTTTGTCCTTCCAACACACTTTATACATCTAAGACAGTTAAAAAAAATGCTTGTCTTACCTCGTCTTTGTCATTGTTCCTTTCAGGCTCCTCAAATAAGAATTCCATGTACAATTCTGCACTACTCATCTCTTCTCACCGTTATATGGCCTTAAGCTGCTCCATTGAAATTGTCTTTTATAATACACTTATAATTTAAGGCTTTATTGAGGATATTCATGTTGAGGCAGCTGATCTTTGTAATTAAAATCAGCCATTGTTCAGTGACTTAGTCAGGCTGATCCAGTGTCATTTTGCTGTAAGTTTGCTTTCATTATCCCAATGTAGCCACTGCTCTTTGTGTAATAGTTTGAAAGCGTTTTAGAATATAATATGATGAAAGGTGCCAGTGGTATAGAAAGAAACTTGTATAGAAAGACAAAAATGAGTGTTTAACCTTATCATGACCACTAATTTTAGGCAACCCTTTCTGTTGTTATTTTTGAGTCTTAAGTTTGCTTGGCTCTTGTCTCCAATGGTAAAACAGGACATTTATCTCTAATGATCATGACCTTCTCACTCGAGGGAAGCCAGGCCCAATCTAATAAACAGATTGTGTGCCGCAAAGACGGAGTGAAGGTGGCGATAAGTGTGCCGCAGCGTTGCCAATGAGATACACTAGAGATATTCCCTTCCAATTTCTCCCACTCTCTGCCCCACTTCACTGCTGCTAAATTACTGTGGTGTTCGGCCTGTAGCTGTAGCGGTGAAGAACAGAGGGACAAATGAGATGGAAAGTCTTATCTCCGTGGACAGCAGGAGATTGAGCTACTCTCCTGGCCGGGCTTCGGACCTAGTGCTGGAGGCTTAGGTTAAGAGTCCAAGTCATTCGGTTTAAGGATGTGTGAAGCAGCGGTGGAAAGTAACTGAACATTTTTGTGAATTTTGAAGAAACTGACAGAATAAATAGACAAAATGACAAGTGGACTCTGCATTGCACATAATTGCTGTAATACTCACTGAAGCTGTTCTCCAGAGAGCAGACAGAGTGTCCTGCAGGGGGCGACAGTCATGGTCCAGCATGTATGTTACAGTCTTTATTTACACAGTCAGTCTGTTATTATCTTTCTGGAATCATGAATGACAGCAAATCTATAAGTGTCATATTTACATGTTTATTCAAATAATAGATTGTGTGTGGTTAATCTCAGAATTAAATTCTGACATCATGGTTAGAAATATTGTGTGGGCAGCCACACATGTTGCTTGTATCTGTTTTTGTTAATATTGCACCTTATCATTTTACCAAACTCCCCGATGTCGTTCATAGTTGTCCAACACACATTGAAAACATGTAATTACATACAAACATGGTTGATGATGATTGATGTTTTGATTATTCTGCATTCTTTCTTGGTTGAAAAGAGTAAGGCAGGTGTGGTGTTGTGAGCAGAGCGGCAGCACGTTCACCTCGATCACAGCCACAGATTAGAGTCGGCGCTGACAATGGCAGCTACTGTGGAACTTTGATTAGGTTTTTTTGTCCAGTCTTTGATTTCCTCTCTGGTCATTCTCTGCTCTTTCAGACCATTATTTCTTTTTGCTATGGAGTGGAATTGTATGTTCATGGTTCTGTGGTCTTAAAGTTGAATTGGAGGAAGCACGTGGCTCAGGGCTCTTTGTTGATTTGGGTCCTTTTCGTCTATTTTAGCTTTGAAGGAAAAAAGTACTGCCTAACCCTGTCTGTCTCCTAATCCTTTCATGTTTTGCAGTGCAAATAAACTTAAAAGAAGATGAAAAAAATAATAAGGAACCGGAACCGGAGGCTCCCTTTTAATCCGTCCCTAATAGTGGAAAATAGCCTCATATTTTATTTTGTATTTTACTTTTTCATTTGTATCGTTATATTAATATGAGTGGAGTTTGTGTATAACCATTCCCATGTAGGCCTTATAAAGGTTGCACAATGAAGGTTAGTTGCAGGTTCATATACTCCATATACATAGAGATTCCTAAATAGTGCTGTCCATTTTAAACCTTTAGACCGCTTTGGTCTCCAGCCTGCTGAGCAGATTGTTGCCTCCTGGAGGGTGCATGCTCATTGTATTTGATTGCAGAAACATTCAGAGTCAGAAAGGTTGCAGTTTCCCACTGAGAGCTTTGTCAACACACCATCATGAATGATTCATAGGGGAAATAAGTACTTGAATAATTTCCACTGGCTTTTCATGAGTATGCCAAGTCGACAGTTTACATGAGTAATCACAAGTCTTGACTCACATGTAGCTTTACCAGTAGTACATTTGTTTGTTCAAAAGGTTTATAGTTTCAACATGATTTATAGTGCACTTGTAATCTAGGAAAGCCTTATTCCATCAACTAACTCATGTCATCCTGTTCATTTTTTCCAACAGATGATCAAGTTTTTACCCAGAATGCCCCTGTGCCATCTTTCGCTGAGGCTAACACTGGCTCCAGGTCTCTGCTTCCCAAAGCGTCTGCGTCTGGTCTGCGTCCTCCAGGGTTCAGCTCCTCTCGGCTCCCCGCTGGACGACTCGCTGCCTTTGGCTTTGTGCGCAGCTCCAGTGTCTCGTCTGCCTCCTCTGGTCAGTCTGTGGACAGTGGAACCAGCGACCCCAGGACTACGCACCGTAAGTCTTCAACTACAGTATATCTTGTTGAAATTCTTGAAAAGGTACATTTCTGATCAAGTGCAAAATCAATAAACATTGAAATACTGAAACAAGAGATAACAATTAAATCATTTTGAAAGCCCTTCATCCTAAGTATGGCCACACTTAGTATATTAATGTATGTAATTCATTCACTGATCCATTGATCTGGATGATCTGCTCTCATCAGAAACTAATATGGGAAATGAATGAATATACAGTAAATCTATAGCATGAGACATCCATTTGTTTTGCTGTTTCTTTTATTTAAAAACATAAACAAAATACACTTGGGACAGAGACATTTTTCTCATTGAATGAATGAATGAATACATTATTTAAGCCTTTATTTGTCCCACAGTGGGGAACTAATAATTGTGAATGTTAGTAACTGCACGTGCCATTTATGACTGACATTATGATAATATAATAAAAACAGGTTTTATTCATTGATATACAGTATATTCTTTCAATATGGTTCAAATGTATCTTTACTGGTTAAGTTATTAGAATCACAAATGGCTGATGTACTGTATTTGTGCTTTTCAAAGGTAACTTCACTGAGTACATTTGAAAATGTACTCAGTGAGAAATGTCTAGCCTACTTAGAGAGAGAGTAGGCTAATAAAACGTGTCTGATCACCCTGATCCCAGTGTACATATGTGAAGAGGATCTTCTGACACTTTCAATGGTTTGCCTTATTATTAAAACTTTGGAGCAGTAGTTGTAAATACATTTGCCGTCATACATATTTTACAAGCAGACTATTAGCATACTATTAAGTAAGTAATTCTTTATTTATATATTGAACCCAGGAACTTCTTTCTGTTCTAACTGCCCATTTTGGCAAATGTTATCACATAACCTCATGTTTACATTCAGCATTTAAACTTTACACAATTAATTTCTGTGTTTCCTGCTTTTGCCTTATGTAATGAGACATGGTAACAAACCCATGGTTAGTTAGGTGAGGGACAGTGTACTTCATTCCAAATCTTAGGATGAGTTGCCTATATGCGTCCAAACATATACATTGATATTATAAGCATGGATTTTACCTGTACTAACTGCATCTACTAATTTTGTGTCATTAGTGTCCAGTTTTTAGTTGAAATGGCTCAATCCAGTTATACCAAACAGACTGTATTTCAACACCTCAATCCAAGCGCAGTTTTTATAATTACTCAATTAAATTTGAGTAGGTGCAATATTAACAAAAGTAGCAGGTGAGTGATCCGGGTTTCACTAATGCTTTATAAAAATAAAAATAAAAATCAGTGTTGTTTATCATCATGCTGTGATTACATGATCCCCTTCAACACAACACTTTATTATCTCATCTACTGTTGGCACTGCCCTAGTGAATATAGTTTGCATAATCATTCCCTCCCACATTCACTTTGCTTTGTTTTCGTCTGCTCCTCCCAAGCTTACTGTACATAGTTTACAGACATTCTTTCAAACTCATAATTTGTAGCTATTTGACAAAATCAGGAAAATTGCAATATAATAATAATTAACATATAATAATCACATTGTGTATCTTTATATATTTGTAATGGATTTTGGACTGCATTGGCTTTGTTTGACTGGACTGATTGAATATGGGCTTAGAACAAATGTCTTGATTGCCAGAATCGTATTAGTATTATGTTTCGTTGGAGACGCTGTTGGCTGTTCATAAGTTTTTGCGTGACTTCCGCAGATTCCTTTTAGACTAAACTCCACTACTTCACACTCTCTGGGACACTGCTCTTGTTCTTCAGCAGCAGAAGTGCTTTTTCAGCCGTGATTTCTGCTCTCCTCAATTCACTTCGTTACTTGGCTGAATTTGTGGGAGCTCCATGCCTTTTTAATGTCTGACCTACATAGGAAAGGCTTGCTCCTCTTTTCCTCCCAGTTACAGTTGACGTAAGCGCTCTGTTGTGCGTGTCAGACCCCCTGTTATGTCATCACTGCCGTACTGCGATTCCCACTTTGTACTAAGAGTTTTTTCATCTCTCCGTTCACTCTCCCATTGGTCATAACTGCAATCTAACTGTGTTACACCGCAGGCATCTAACATCTGAAGGGGCTCTAACAGCAATTGCTTTAATATGAATAATTCCAACTAAAAACTGGATTAACACTCCTGAGCGCAGACCTCCGCCAAGAGGTGCAGCTTCATTCCTCTAAAGGAGATCTTTTAACCACCTTTAAAAACAAAAGTATAACCCATAAATTAGTGGTGGGAATTTCCCAGGTGAAAGTACATTATTTTCCATCAAATGGCTGTGTTTGCAGCCGGTAATTTGCAAATATGGAAAAACACAAAACAAATCCTACACCTCCCTCTGGTGGAAGCATAATGAAATGGCAAAGAAAAGAGTCTCACTATATTTTTTCTTGCCCAAAAATAAGGTGTACAGTAATATTTATTCTTTCTGGATCCAAGCGTGAACTTCCAAACTGAAAATGTATAAATAATCACCCCCTAACCTTTTGAGTCTAACAAACAGACTCTAGTGGTTTACATTAACATCTGTCTGAGTTAGGAATTAGGACAGTGTAAGGAGTGGTTACATCTATTTTGTAATTGTTGGTCTGAATTTGAAATATTATTCGCCTTTACGTAATATTTTTCGTGGGGAAATCTTGAAATGAAATCCCATTTTACTTTTGAAATATACCTAGTCTACTTCAAAAACAAAACAACTCCAGGTCATTTGAAGCCTGCAGCCAAATGTTTCTCTTTGCCAGACCAAATATAGATTGTAGACAGGGTGAGGAAGAGCTTTAGCCGCTTTGATGTTCCTGCATTTGCAAGAGGGAGAGGAGCAGCTGGATGTTTTATCTGTTTCTGTTTGTGACTTTTGGCGGAGGCTCATTTGAACTCCAGTCTTCTGTTGACCTTCCAACCTCGGCCTGACGGTTCACTGCAGTCCTTCTCTCCAACTGGGATCTGCTGGCACACTTCCACTTGCTGTGCTATTGATCAGGCAGTGCTGTGATAGCTTTAGTGCGCTTGGCTGTCGACCTCAGCCGAAGCTCTGGTCTGTTCTCATGCTGGTATTATGCAATGGAACCACCGTGACTGTATTTGATGCAAACATTTTATCACAAGAACAAACTCTTTCTCTTTGAACAAACAAGACTGACAACTGACGCTTCCAATAACAACGTCAAAACCAATCTCGGCAGAACGAGAAGATTTAAGATTTAAATCGAGAAGATTTCTATTGATTTAATACCGTTCCAGACACTATTAGAAGTCTGGATTTGGCAGAGACCCCAAATCGTTAAGAACCACAACCACAAAGAGCAATAGATCGGTGAGCTTCTTTAAAGTGGCTTAGTGGAGGATCCCAAGGGTTTAAACTCCCACTTAGTCACAGCTTGTCAACCTTGTTCTTGTCAGTTATGTCCATCCACAAGGGAAACACAGGACCTTGTACTGGTGGAGATAGTGAATCCAATTAGATAGACAATAGACGCTGTTCACATTTACAGCTTTTTAACTAATGTTAGTCATGAGAACAGCCATTTACAAATGGTGGTAGTTTTGTATAGTAAATAAGTTAGGAAGACTTGTGATCTATCCACACATAATGTGTGTTATGCAGTGTTGTCTTACATGTGGTTTGCATAATTAAAATTCCCAAGGTATGATACCATACTGTATGCCCTTCAAAATTCTCCAGGCTTGGGACTTATTCAAAGATTCAGTGTGCTACAGAACAATACGTTTTCACTATTTTTGTAGATACACTTTTCATTTCATTTCATTTCATTTACATCCCTTTATTTTCCATTTCTGGGTCAGGGGGGTGGCAATCAGAACTGCCACCCAATTCACATAGCACCAGTCCCTTGCTGATCTTCCTGCAGGTGGTGGGTCCACGGGAAGATGGCTGCTCCTTCGACACAGATGCAGCCTTGGTCTTTCAGTGTAGATAAACAAACCATTGAAATAATTAGGAAATGTATATAGCCACATGATCCTATATTGCTTTGGTATTGACATATTTGAATGAGTTGTACCAGCCTAGAGCTCTGTTAAGTATAGTGCAGAGAGAAATTGCACACGCAGCAGCATTGCCAGGTCGATGTACTCCCTGTGGTTAAGAAGATACAGATATGACAGCTCTATGATGCATCACACACTATTCAATACATATGGGAATGTCGGTACTACTTGATTAGTCGCCTCTTGGTGTATTAACCAGTATTAAATGTTGAGTATATTTGATACCCAGGATTTCTAATATTTGTGTCCTGTCTATACTAAAATCAGCTCATAATCATGGCTATGTACCATCGCTCTTAAAGTGTCACTGTAACAGGATAAAAGATTTTATGTGTTGTGTGCCTGCATGTTTTGTATAATTTCTGCAGGGGGTTATGCAATGTGACCATGATAGCCATCTTTCTTTACTGCTATGGGGACACACAAAGCTCTCTGATATTGTATTGTGCTTTCAAGTGAAACACTTGCAAGGGATTGGTTGTTAATTCCACTCTGATTGACACTTCCCATTACCCGTAACCTGTATCTTGAAGCTGCGCTGACACTGACAAAAACTCAATCTCCAGAACAAACACAGCTTCTCTTTACTTGGCACTTTAGGTGATAATGAAAATAGGATCAATGAATCAAGTAGAGATGGAGTGATGGAAAGAATAAACGGGACATAATTAAAACATACATGTGACGTCAAAGAAGACACGTCTGCATTTTTAGGCTCTAAACAGATCTATTCATTCATTGGTTGCTACGCAGTCCTGCACGACTCTTCCAGGAGAAATAGTAGACATTCCTCATAGAAGAGACGTAGGTCTTTCAGGGAGGCATCCATAACAGATGCTCAAGCCGAGGCACCTCCTGTGCGACTGAGCTACTCCTTTAAGGGAGTGATCAGCCAACCTGTGGAGGAAACTCATTTCCCATGTTCATGGTGTGATGAAATGTGAGCGAAAGCTTCAGTACCACAATCTCATG